GATCTAGTCAACCTGTCAGGGTCCAGACCCTGGAGGATCCTACCAGACAAAATCTCCCTCAGTCATGGAATTCTCCTCTACCCAGACCCACAATGGCTCCAACTAACCATTTGGCATTTGAGCAGAGGGCTCTGAGGCTGGACAATTTCTCTGGCTGGGTGATACAGACCATTCAAGCCTCTAGGAGCAACCAACAGGATTTACAATTCCACCTGGAAAAAGTTCTGTGCCTGGTGCTCCAAAACATCTATTGATCTCCTCTCAGCATTGGTGGCCCGAATCCTGGACTTCCTACAGATTGGGCTAGACTTGGGCCTATCACCCAATACAATACACAGACAAATGGCTGCCTGTTTTATCTTGTGGGGAATTAAAGAATTAATCTTAGGATGGAACGAAGGTCCAAGCACAGAATAAATTTATTGGGATGAAAAACGCATAGATCCTTCCTTATTGAGAGGGCTGCTAGCTCGGAGATGCGTCTCGCCAAGGTGATAGCCATGAGAAAGGAGACCTTGCAGGTGAGAGAACGAAGGCTGGCGGAGTGCAAAGATTTAAAGGGAGAGAGAGAGAGAGACTGGAAGACGGTAGGCAGTTTCCAGGTGGGATATCGGGGTACCCTCAGAGGCTTTAAGTTACTTGCGCATCTGATAAAGCTGTGCACAATAGAGTGCCTGATTTTATCGGATTTCTGCCCTGGTCCGACCCATGCCCTAGAGAAGGAAATGGCATACCTTGGCCGTCAGGAGAGCTCTCAGCATCTATATCAAGAAGAGAGCTTCCTTTCAAAGATCGGAGTCCCTGTTTGTGTCATTTCAACCCTCCACATTGAGTAACAAAGTCACTGCATCGACAGTAGGCCATTGGATACGAGTATGCATCACCAAATAATAGGAACTTCAGGCTCTTCTGTTATCTTGGCGAGTGACAGTCCACTCTACAAGAAGCAGAGCTACTACAGCATCATGGGTCACACAGGCCTCCATTGAGGTATGCAGAGCAGCGACATGGTCTTCTTCATCACCATTTATATGGCATTATAAGCTTATAAGCTGAAGCGGCTTACAGCAGACAAGTTCTCCAGAAGGTGTACATAGACTCGGGAATTCTGGCCCAGAGTGCTGCCCATCCTTAGGACGTGCCGGCTTTGGTATGTCCCATTCCTTGGATTCTCCTCAGCACACTGGAGAAGGGGCGTTTCTCTTACCTGACATGCTCCTCGGTGTGCTAAGAGAATCCAACCTCACCCTAGCAGCCATTGGACCAGAGTCCACAGGTGGTCAAGTCAAGCATCATGTTCAAGTCAATCATCACGCCTTTGTTGAAAACTGGGGAAGTAGACATGCGAGGCGTGACTACAAATACTTGATTGACTCAGTCTAATGAGCAGGAAGGCAGAGTTAACCCATTCCTTGGATTTTCTTTCTCAGCACACTGAGCAGGAGCGTGTCAGGTAAAATTCTAAATTCACTGTCGAGAACATTCCTATTGCCAGGTACGAAAGCATCTTAAGATACCCTTGCCCAAACTATCTTTCAGAAAGGCTTGATGGGCTTATTGTAATTTTTGAAAATTCCAGAAAGAGAGTCTGCCTTAAATGACCTATAGGATGGGTGTTTATCTCTATACTGAGCTGGCAAAAATAAGTTTCTTAGATGCCAATCCGAATGCTCTCAATAAAGACTGCACTTCAAGAAAAACAGATGTTAGAGTTTTTCTACAAATTTGGGACTCAAAACAATTTTTTGAGCCAAAACGAAGCTTGTCATGATATAATTGTGTGACGTCTAACATGTAATGATTGTGTTCTGAATATACAAGGATTGAAGGGTATCTTTGCAGTGTCACAGAAACATGATTTTTATTTTATTTTATTTGCTTCCACATCTTTCCCAGAGATAGCAGATAGCATACCTGTTATAATGCAAGAACCTTAGATGCTGAATCTACTTCGGGTTACTGTATTTGGTGATAGTAGGAATGGATTGGCCTCACTTCAAAATTTCTACTAATATTTTTAAACTTGATATGTGGAGCAACAAAGATGACTATAGGCTAAAGGGATATCTTATAATTTAGTATTGGTAGCTATAAATGCTAAATATTTTTAAAAAGTGATCTCTTTTGGCATCAAATCTTCTTTTCTATATTTTAGCTTTAAAGAGGGCGAGGAGCACAAGCAAAGGCTCGAGTGATGATTCTGACTCTGAGGACGAGACAAAAGCACCAACAGTCCAGGTAACTAGTTAACAGTTTTCTAAATTAGTGGAAGGGTGTGTCCTTTTTGTCTGTGCCTGCAAGCTATCTAAATAATTCCCTCACTTGACAAAGGCAGAGCAGGGAAAGTCCCTTTGAGAAAAAATACCCTTTGCTTCTCCCCATTTGGCTATTTCCAAAGGGGAGGATATATTAAGGAAAATTTATAGGATTCGTACCTCAGCTCCATAGCATCAACCTCCAGACACTGCTCATTTGTTTAATGAGCGTTTCTGTCTTCAGAAGATGCTCAAAGAAGACATTACAAATCCAATGAAATAGAGATGGGGAAATAGATTGGTCCTCTAATGACCAGTAAACACTGTAGTGTTAATTAAAATATGCACTCAAGTTTGACGGGGTTCTAAATTGAATGAACCTTTCCCCATTATTTGAATCTCTTGCCACATCACTACATTTTTGTCTTAAGAAAACCTGAGATGTTGGGATGGCGTTTTCCAACCTCTGCTCTTGTGCCAGACACTAGCTTTTAAGGCTATCAGGACATTCTTATGCTTGGATACTTTTAGAGGGATTGTTTGTCCCATTTCTCCCATGTGCATTTTTTTTAATCAACAGCAACTTTGTCTCCAGTGCTAAAGTCTGAATTTGCACATGAGGAGTTTGTTCCAAGAATGGGGAAGGGAATAATTATAAGCTATTCTCCTACTTCTGTGGAGGGGGAAAGTAGACACCAGGATGGTTATGAGAATATGAAATTGAAATTGTGAGCAGAATATAATTCCTATTCCAATAATGGGAGAGCAGGCAAACTAGCATTGATTATTATAGTCAAATTTAGCATCCCATTTTGAAGAGAAATTCCTCTGTGGTGTGGTTTTGTTTGACCGAGGAGGAAATAGGATTGATTTATCTCTCTAACTCTGACATGTGAGCCCTGGGCAGGTTCAGATTTCCTTTTCTGCCTCCTGCCCCAACCATAATTATTTTTACATTTTCTTTTCCCTCACTCCAGGCTCCAAATTGCTTTTTTCAAGAGGCTCTCTCCCTAAGGTGACCCTCTTCTTCATTTCCTGCTCCTAGTGGGAAATAAAGAAAACTTCTCTTGCCCAAAGGGGTTCCAGGAAATGCAAGAGAAAACCATACCAACCTTTTGCTTCCTTTGTCCTAAACCTCCATAAGCAACTTTCCTGGGTTTTGTCAATACCAAAGAAAAACACTGGAATATGAGTGGATATATTGTCCTCTATTTTATCTTCTTCAAGTTAGAACAATAGATCAGACTTGATAGAATGAATTTACTCAATGGATCAAATATGGTTCAGATATTAACTGGTTTTATCCTTCTCCTGTCCCAACTTGACTATTCCAATGCATTAGCTAGAGTATGCATCTTTAGTAGCCAATACCTAGGTTGTTCACCCTGCAATACAAGGAACATTTTTTTTATCTTTCCTTCTAGATTAAAACAGCTGTGAAAAATTCCCCAATCACTAGTCCACTGCTGAGCAAGTCACCAGTCACTCCTGGCACTTGTGCAAGAAATACTGTAAAGGTAACCGCAGCAAAGCCAGCCAGTGCAAAATCTGGAAATGCAAACAGAAGCCCAGAATCAACAGACACTTCAGAAACTGACTCATCAGCTAGTGAGACTAAAGCACCTGCTTCAGCATCACAGGTGAGATGCATTGGTAAAGTTGGTCAAGACACACTGATTTCACCATCTGAAGCTAATAGGTACAAAATGTAGGAAAGGAAAACAGCTTGAAACTGGTCCAAGAAAGTCTCTGGAAATCTGCTATATAGGAATTATTGAGCAAATACTATCTCATTGCCAACTATTCCTGTGGAATCTAAAGAGCTGTGAGAACTGATTTATAATTTGGAGATGGAGAGATAAGAATGTCATTGTGACAACTAGGGTCTCACTTGGATATGATAGATTGAAATTGGAATATAAAGTAACCAAGTGTGTAGTTAACATAATCTTCTGTAAATTTCACCAGATTTTAAGATTACAGACAATGCCCTCAAAGATAATCTTTTTCACTTGCTGTTGAACAAAGATTTCACCCTTTTGGCTGTTTTCAGGCTGCGAATTTACCAGATTTATCTTTTACACATAGAGCATGTGTGTTCTGCAGGTATATATATACACAAACAAGTTATATTTTTATTTAAATTTTTATATTGCTCTGTGTTGAAAAATAAAATTCAGGGAAAAGAAGTTGATCTAGCTTTCAGAACAATTTAACTTGCTTCCCAAGATCTATTACACCAGGATGTCTTAGTCACGTTCAGGAACTCTGACTTTATACCATTTCTCTAATCTCTTAACAATAGTTAAAATTATCCCCCCAAAAATCTTCAGGCCTCCAAAGCACCAGGGAAAAATGCAGCATCAAGTCCATCAAAGAAGGCAGTTTCTGCTTCTATTCCATCAAAATCCACTCCGAAGGCCACTGCAACCCACTTATCAAAACCACCACCTCCTTCAAAAGAAGCCGAGAGCTCAGGCAGTAGTGAATCATCATCTGAGAGTGACAGTGAGACTCCGCCAGTTCCCATAAGTCAGAAGGTTGGTGCTCTTCAAAACTCTACTGTGTTTCCTGGAAAATAAGACAAGGTCTTATTTTCTTTTGATCTCCAAAATATTGATTTGGTCTTATTATCGGGGGGGGGGGTATTGTTTTGGGGTTACCAGGTGGCTGCTCTTGCAAGTGGGCGCCCAAAGAGCCAGGCACAGCCTCAAGGACAAATGGCTGTGTTGCGCTGTCGCAGCAGCGCAATATACCAGCCATGAGGTGACCACACTCTTGAACAGCCACCCGGCAACCCCTGTTTCCAGCCAGGCAGAGCACCACTCACGGACCCAGTGATATCCCAAAGGTGCTAAGCCGCGTGGTGCTCTGCCCTCCCCTAGCTCCCGCGGCTTGACGCATTAGGGATACCCTTAGATCAGTGCCTAAGCTGGAAAGGGAGGTTGTACAAGCGCCTGTTCCGTCCCCAGCTGGTGTGCCTCCCAACCTCACCATGTCCTGGCCCAACTCTCCCTGCAGAGTGGCAACTTCCGAAAGACTCAGCATCCTACCTCCGTGCTTTGGAAGCTGCAGAAAGAGCCATGCGGCGATGGGTAGCTGCGGCAGCAGAGATGCCCTGCCTCTACAGGGAGAGTTAGGCAAGGGCATCGTGAGGCTGGGAGGTACATGAGCAAGGAGTGGAAAAGCTGCTCGTGCAACCCCCCTCTCCAGCCAGGTAGAGCCCCATTCACTGACCTAGGGACATTCTGAACACGCCAAGCCGCGGGAGCCGAAGGGTGGCGAACAGACGCTCACGCAGCTTGGCGATACCCCTAGGTCAGTGACTGGCGCTGTGCCTGGTTGGAAAGGGTGGTTGCTGGGCGGCTGCTCATGAGCATGGTCACCACATGGCTGCTGTGTAGTACTGCTGCGACAGCGCAACACAACCCTGAGGCTATGCCCGGCTCTTTGGGAGCCCACTCGCAAGAGAGCAACCGCCCGGCAACCCCCCTCTCCAGTTGGGCACAGTACCGCTCACTGACCTAGCAGTATCCCGAAAGCACCAAGCAACGCGAGCCTTTGCCCGCCCCGCAACCCTGTTCCTATGGCTTGGCGCCTTCGGGATATCTCTAGGTCGATGAGTGGCGCTCTGCCTGGCTGGAACGGGGAGGGTTGTCCAGGGGGCTTATTTTCGGGGGAGGGCTTACATTTTTGCCTGTCCGAAAAATGTGGCATGGCCTTATTATCAGGACATGTTGTATTTTCGGGGAAACGCTGTCGGAACTGTGGTCTTTGTTTTTTCATGAACCAGCCATTTGTAAGATGATTTGCTTATTTTTAATAAGACATTTACTGTCCTCCAGGGTAGCATTTCTGGATATGAATGCTAAACAGGTAATTCAGAATCACTTTTAAATACCAGTTCTGTTTGGTACCCTTTACTATGCATGTATATAGTATATATAGTATAATTCTATTCTTACCCTGGAACTGCTTGAAGCATTTGGAAAATTCTGTAGGTATATACACACAAAATAGTTATATTTTTTTCTTTGTTTAAATTGTCATAGCACTCTGTACTTACAAATAAAGTTCAGGGGAACGAAATTGATGTAGTTTCAGAACAATTTAACCTATTTCCCAAGCCTTTGTTCTGATTTATTACACCAGAATGTCTTACTCAAGTTCATGAACTCTGATTTATACCATTTTTCTAAACCTAACCATAGTTAAAATTATCCCCCCCAAAAATCTTCAGGCCTCCACAGCACCAGGGAAAAATGCAGCATCAAGTCCATCAAAGAAGGCAGTTTCTGCTTCTATTCCATCAAAATCCACTCCGAAGGCCCCTGCAACCCGCTTATCAAAACCACCACCTCCTTCAAAAAAAGCCGAGAGCTCAGGCAGCAGCGAATCATCATCTGAGAGTGACAGTGAGACTCCGCCAGTTCCCATAAGTCAGAAGGTTGGTGTTTTTCCTCTAGCAATGGGGGTCTTTGTTTTTGCATGAGCCAGCCATTTGTAAGATGATTTGCTTATTTTTAATAAGATATTTACAGCCTGCCAGGGTAGCTTCTTTGGATGGTGTAAAAAAAAACATGAAGATTAACCTGCTAAAATATACTAACAAGTCAAAAATGTTATAATTCAGATAAAATGGCCATCCCATCTTTCCACAATTAGACATCGGAATCATCAGGTTTTGAATGATTTCCTAAAAAGATAAAAGGGGGTGAAGACAACTTTTGGAGTTCATATTCCATAAAGTGTGACAAAAAATGACAGCCTTCTGGTCCATAGCCTTTTAGCTCTCATGTTAGTGATCTTAAGCTGGCTTCCTCTAGAGCAGAGGTGAAGAACGATGGCCCTTTAATAACTTGGAATTCTGGGAGTTGAAGCCCACAAGTCATAAAGGTTCCATCATTCTCCACCTCCGCTCTAGATAATCAGACAGAATAATTTCATACACGATGCTCTTTTCTTTGCCAATGTATGTACCTCACATCTTAAAGCAATATAATTAATTCTAGCATCTCGGAAGCCTAGTATACGGTACACTTATTATCTGCCACATCTTCCATCTATAAAATTTGGTCTCTGCCTCTTGCTGCAACTTCCTCACTTTTCCCTCCATCGAGATAAGTCTGTCATTCTCCATAGCACTGCTTTTATAGACTTCTCAGTAGAAGGTGAATGGATACGTTCCTTTCCGAATGTTTCACAACCGTCTCCTTTGGTTGCTCCATTCTGAGCGCCATGGGATTTGGCAGAGCCAGGTCTTCAAATTCTTTTGACAAGCCAGGAGAAAATACGTATTATGAATGAAAGATTTGCGTAAAAGCAGGCACGGATGTCATCCAACATATCCGTTCAGTTAGCACAATTAGGATAGTTACATTGATTTTGAAAAAAATAGGCCAAAAATGACAAAATTGTGCGTATCACTTGACTAGTAATAAACCCAAACATCCAAATTACTGGACTTGCAAAGAGGGAAGAAAGAAAGAAATATATCCATTTAAATAACTCCTTTCCCCTTTTTAGAGTACAGGCCTTTTCTCGCCAGCGATTGTCAAGTGTGTTTGCACCACATTTTACACTGTCTTACTATATTCATTGTTGTCACACAGAGGAATACGAAAGAAAGAACTGCTGTTAGAGACCTAGCAGCCTCAGCATTGCCCTGTTTAACAGATGAAAGCTGCTCAGAAAATGATTTCTTTTCTTGCCTCATTTTTTGTTGTTCTCCCCAGAGTTCTTAAAAATACAGCAGACCAGATGCTGAGTTTCTTGAAAAGACAGCTTTGATTTAGCTTCCTTTGTGGGGCTTTGAAGTCTGGTGTAATTCAGGCAACTATAGCTTGTATCACTCACCACTGTGTGGCTTCCTTTTAGAGCAATTGAATGGCTGGCTGTCTTTTGTAAAAGTAGAGCTTTATCCCTCTTCTTCTTTCCAAAATAAACTCAATTGCAAATAAATCTCCATGGGGCTGTAATGTTTATACCAGGGACATGGTCCACTTTTAAGACCAAGACCAAAGGATTTCAAATCATGTATTTGTTGTGTGTCATTCAAGAAGCAGTTAATCTGACAAATTAACCAATTTAAATATTAATCATTCGTTTGTTTGTTTATTAAATTTATTGGCTGCCCATATTACCACAAAGTAACTCTGGGCAGCTTACAATCTTTACAAAATAAAAACTATGCAAAGCTAAAAGACATTCATAAAATACTGTGAAATGTATTTTATTGTAAATAAAATGTTACGCACAAAAAATCTGATATTTAAAGATATTTAAGAAGCTTGGCAGGCAGATTAAGTTTTTCTATCTGTTTCAGGCTATACAGGTAATCCTCGGGTTACAACTCTTAATTGGGACCAGAATTTCTATCACTAAGTGAAGCTGTTGTTAAGCAAAGCATCATACTTAGCCACAGCAATCCCAGTTGTGATCATTGCTGTTTTTAATGGTGGGAATACATCATTTTGATTCTGTTGGAAATTGAAGAAGGAAGGAAAGATATATGAGAAATCATTGAGTTTTACATGTATGTATGTCTGTTTTCTCCCTCATGGTGCAGAGATTGTCAACTCCAAGCGCTTCTGTGAGGACCAAACAAAATCAGGCCAATCAGCCTGGGGTCCTACCCAAAGCTTCACCAGGTGCTTTGAAGGAGAAGGAAGCACAGAATGAAAGCAGCAGTTCCTCTGACAGTGAGGATGAATCTGACGTTACACCAAGCAAATTGCCAGCACTATCTAGTAAGAAGGCTCCAGCCTTTTTGATGCTCAAGGGGAAAAAAAAAATTCTATTTTCAATGGCTCTACTAATTTCTTTGCTTAGCAGCTTGACAGGGAAAGGACACAAATAACAAGGGATGCACAAAATACATTCCAAAGTATCAGCACTGATGCCAGTTATTTCAAAACTGACATGAGAGATGTGTTGGCATCTTCAATTTTGCCTTTAGCCTATAATTTCAGTGTGTCTCACCAACTAGCTGATGCTCCCTTTATTTTTAAGGAAATTGGATGTTCTCCTTTGTGGTGTTGCCAATCCCAGATTAATTTCTGAATGATGATTTTTTTCTAAAGATGAAAGAAAACCAGTACTAAACTGATTCATGATTCTGTATTATTCACAACTGAAAGCAGTTGATATATTTTAATATGACTAATTTTAATGGTTCCTTTTCTTATGAAGAAGCCCTAGCAAGGCCAAACATAGCTGTTTTGTGATTTAAACCATCACATTCTTTCAGTAAATAATGATGTCAGATAATGGAGCATGGAGGATCTTGTTAATTGAATAGTAGTATAAATAAGAATCTGCTAAGTGTCTTTATGTTATTTTTGGCTTATTTTCCTCCATCATCTGTAGGCAGTATTTTCATGTGTTAGAAAGGTTATAGATTTTTTTCAGCTGCATTAAAGATAAGTTTCCACTTTTTTTTGCAACTTTCCCTACCTTATTGTACATAGATTTTGTACAAAACTTCCCTTTGTTAATATAAACTCCTTCAGAAATATTTTCAACTTTTAACTGTTCTCATTATTACTTCTCTGTGCAAATTCTTCTTATAAACCTGTGCCCTATTTTACAAACATCTGAAAACTCATCCTTTCTCAAATGTATCTCAGAAATAGTTTATTGTGTGGTTTTGCCTATAGAGAGATTAGCAAATTGTGTTCAGTGTTTCTATCAGTGCTACAGCAGTTGATAGATCTCATGAATTTGTTCTTGCAGAAATCTATGAAAAATATGTTACAGCTGTAACTAGTGTTCAGTTGTTAATAACAATGAGAGATGATGTCACATGGTGATTTAAAACGATTGATATTCTTTAGAATATTTTTTTGAACAAATCTGATTTTCCTGGAGTTTAAAGTCTATCATCTCTTCACCAGTTCCTTGGTATAGTAGGTTTGGCACACAGCTTTATAACTCTAGCAGTTTTTAGTGGTGTGTATTTTGAAATTTTAAACTAAAGGCATCTTCCTGAAGTTAGATTTTATTATTATTATAGTGCTATGTACTTACAGCCCAAAACTGAGCCCAAAATTTCCGCTTCTGAGCAAGGCAGTTGTAAAATGTATCCCATTTTTTACAACCTTTTTGCTGCAGTTGTTAAATGAATCATTGCCGTTGTTAAGTGAATCAGACTGTTCATCAAATTTGGCTTCTCCCATTGACTGCTTGTTGGAAGCCCACTGGGAAAGTTAAAAGGGATGATCATGTGACCCTGATACCCATACACCTTTCATAAGTAAATGCCAGTTGCCAAGCACTGAAATGTTGATCATGTAACCATGGAGATGCTGCAACGGTGTAAATGCGAAGTCCTTGCTTCAGTGCCATCTGAATGGTCACTAAATGAATGGTTGTAAGTCTAGGACCACCTCAATTTGTTTATAGAAAAACTTGCAGCATCCATAGTTAGCCCCGCTGTTACAGTGACTGGCTTCACAGTGAGGAAAATACCTTGTCGGTCATAAGCAGGTAACTGCTAGTGAGATCTATTAAATTTCAATGCTGTAAATTGAAATTACACCCAGTTCTCCTAGTCTTTTTGTCCCAAAGCTGCCTTGGGGAAAAAATCAGCATGACTGGTTTTCTTTTTTTCGGTATCAGGAAATTGTGGATAGTTTCACAAAATAACTTTTTGAAGAACACAGTGGCTGTTTCTAAGATGTGTTTGTTTTTTGGGCGTAGGGCAAAGGGGAGAGACTCTTCAACATTGTGTCTTTCCTCCATCCCATTAACCTTTTTTTCTGATACAGGTAGTCCTTGACTTACAAACTGTTCATTAGTGACAGTTTGAAGTTACAACAGCACTGAGAAAAGGGACTTAAGACTTAAGATCATTTTTCACACTTGCAACCATTGTAATATCCCCGTAGTTGCATGATCAAAATTCGGATGCATGGCAACTGGCTTGTGTTTATGACCGTTGCAGTATCCCAGGGTCATGTGAACACCTTTTGTAACCTTCTGACAGACAAAGTCAATGGGGAAGCCAGCTTCACTTAACGACCTTGTTACTAACTTAGCAACGGCTGTGATTCACTTAACAACTGTGGCAAGAAAGATCATAAAATAAGGCAAAATTTGCTTAACAAATGTGTTACTTAGCAACACAAATTTGTGGTGGTAAAGCCGAGGATCACCTTCACATATTTAAACATATTTCTAAGCTGCCTGTGATATAAAAATGTATTTCAAAAAGGAAGTTCATAATATGCCAACTAAATGCAGATATCAGAAGGTATCTCGTCTTGAAATCATATTAGTTGAGCTGCTTCATCAAACATTTTAAGAAAACCACTGAGAATCGATGCATCTTCGGGGTTCTTGGCGAAAGTCAGGAAAGACGAAGAAGGAAGTGAGGCTGTGTGTTCTAATTGTACAGTCTTTTGGAACTGGCCGAGCTATCACTTTTCTGTCTCTTGATTGCTTTCAGCCCCCAAAGCAACTCCTGCAGCTCAAAGTGTATGTACAGTGAAGCCTCAGCCTCCAAAGGGACCACATCAGAAAGCCGAGCAGAGTGAAGATAGCAGTGAAGATTCAAGTGATGACTCTGACTCGGAGGAAGATGGAGCGGCCACTCAGGTAACCATAGAGAAGTCTCTGGAAGGGGAAACACTGTGCCCTACCATTATTATGGGGTTTTGATTTTCTTAGACTGTGAACGTTCTGGCATTGTTTGTAATTGGTTGTTTTATCAGTAAGGAGGAGAAAAGGGGCTTGAAAGGGGGCTTCTACTTTAGGAACAAAGCTGTGAATGAATAAAGAGACAGATAGAGTATTTGGTTAATTTTATCATTGCATCATCGTTCAATCCCTAATACGAATTCTTGAGCAGAACTGCCAATTGCTGCAGTTGTTCTCAAAACAAGAAATCGGGTGAGGACTAGAATAAAATCATTGCAGGAAAATTGCCTAGAGAGTTCTTGATGGTTGATTGGGGGAGAGGTTAATATGCTATTTGATCTGGCTGTTGGAATGAGAGAGAGAAAGAGAACAGTGCTTTGTTACTTAGAAAACATGTCTATTTAAAAAAATATATGTTGGATATGTAAATTTATATATTGTTGCCCCATGTGATGAATATGAAGGGTACATGGGAGTGCACACACAAAAATCTGATGTTTAGAATTGATCAGAAGTAAATTTGAAGGACTATTTTGGGTGATGATTTAAAAAAGAGAGGCAGGACATTGTAGTAGAAGTATAACATTAGACTGTAAAAACAGCCCAGTGCGCTTTTACTTTGAAATGAGCCCCATTGAGTTTAATGAGGGTGCCATCTGGGGAAAGCAAATGCAGTTGGTGATTAATTGCTACTGATTGTGAATACCTTAAAAAATAGGAAGTGGATGGTTGACAAAACTCTCAATTGCATGGAGTTCAGGAAGAAGCTATAGATTTGTAGTCTGAGAATCTCTTCTTTCTCTGTTTTGACACAGTAAGATGACTGTATGTACTCAGGGCCAAAAACTGACATTTATTAGGTTTTTGGCTTTGGATTTTTGAAAGGGACGTGGGTCTGAAATACGTCACCCAAATTCTATTCCATCACTTGAATTTACTTTTGTAATTCTGACTGAAGATTTGGAAAGTCTCAGTAAAGGGGATATGGGCAGCTGGAACTATTTGTATACAATTAGATATGCTCTAAACCAGTGGTTCCCAAAGTGGTTGGTACCACCCCCTGGGGGGCAGTGGGATGACTTAGGGGGCGCTAAGAGGCAAGTGGGGTGGCAGGGGGCGCTAAGAGGCAAGGGGGGTGGCAGAGGAGTGCTGGAGGTGGCCCCCTCGCAGGGCACAATTCTGCCTGGGGCTCTGTTGGCCGCCAGTCAGCTGAGCACTTCCGGCAGGGGTGAAATTCAGCCAGTTCTGAACAGTGGGACAAATTATGGGCAGTTCGGAGAATAGTAAAATGCACCACTGACTGGCTCCGCCCTCACCTCCTGCCCCTCCCACTCACTCGCCTGCCTAGAGGCACAGGTGCTGCTGCTGCTGCTCCCTGGTTCCCTCGCTTATCTCAACCACGCAGCCCAGCAGATCTTTGCCCGGTGAGTCTTCCTTCGCTTCTATTCTAGCTACCTCCCCCACGCCCCAGCCAAGGTATCTATTCTTTTCCCAAGCTATTTCCCTCCATCTGGGCTCTCCCTTGCACAGCTGAGCCTAGCATTCAGTTTAAAATCCAGGGCAGGGGAGGGGGGCAACAGAGCAGCCAGGAGGAGGGAGAAACGTTTTTCTTTTTTGCCAAGCTTTTTTTTTTTCACAAGGTCCCTTCCAACTCTGCTATTGTATTCTTGTAAGTCCTATTCTGTTGTGCATTTCTTGTCCGCTTGCTCCTTTATTGGCTGATCTTAAAAGGTGGAAGCTGTCCACCACTTCAATATGTTCATTGCCAATTCTAAGGTGCCTATTCTCCATGTTCAGACAACTGAATTACTGATTTCATTCCCTTGAATAGGGAATTACTGACAAAAATACATACATGGTTGGAAAAGATGATTAAGCAGCATATAGATTTAAAGCCAGAAATATTTCTGTTGGGCATAATACCGGAAAGCTATGATAAAGGGTCTATATACTTAATGCTACATGTATTGACAGCAGCGAGAGTTGTATTTGCACAATCTTGGAAAAATAAGAACACCCTATCAGATGAAAGCGTAATTCGGAAAATATTGGATTGTGCAGAGATGGATTGACTGACATTGAAAATAAAAGATAAAGGAGAGACAGAGTACTACTCAACATGGGATAGGTTTATCAATGGTTAGACATAAGAGATAGTGGTTAGATGAAGAAAGATTATTGTTATGTGCGCGTAAAAGATGAATGTTGTCTATGACTATGTATGCTAGTATAATGAATGACTATAAATAAGCTAATATAACTATTAATATTGCTATAATTACTATTTTATTGTTCTTTTATTTTATTATTACTTCTTTTAGTCATTAAACATGAAACTCAGTCAACTGAACATTTAAAAATGCATCACAAATAGCATTGACTGGTACTGGTGGTTGATACTGGTTGCTGCCAGCGTCCTAGGTATCAACCAAGTACCTTCTTAAAATATATGATGTTCCTAGTAGCAGTTTTTTGCAGTTCCGGTAGTGTTATTGCAGGAAGCTGCAATTTCTTTATGTGTTTTGTAAAATAATGATGATGATGATGATGATGATGATGATGATGATGATGATGATGATGATGTGGTTAATCTTTGGTGAGATTCACAGCCTTTGGGGCTGG